AGCATGGATGCTGTCCGTCAGGGCGATAACATTCGTGATGCAGCAGCCGCACTCACATCCTACGAAATAACAGCAGAGTTTTCGCGACTGACGGGGTTATTTGGAGAATAGGTGGCATATGATCCCCCAATATTTGCTCATTCCACCACATCCAACACAATTATTTGTCTTCTTTTTTGTTGTTGTTTTTTATTGGACTTAATGCCTTTAGCGCCAACCCAGACGCACGCGCTTTCTTGTTGTTTAATTTCTATTTTTTTTTTTTTTGCCAATTTTTGGAGGGAGAGGAGACGGGTTTTTATATTTTTTTGTTGTTGTTTTTGATGTTTATTGTTATTATTATTACTTTTCTTTTTTTTTTTTTTTTTTGTGTGTAGACGAGAAGAAAAGTGAATGTTTGCATCTTTTTATAGCCCTCTCTGTGCGTAGGTGGGAATATGCGTGTCTCAGGGGGGTATCTTCTTTATTATTTGTGTGTGACTCTTGCTGTTTGTGTTTGTGTTTGTGTTGGGAGCCAAATGCATCTCGTTTGCTTCTTATCACTGCCTTGCTGGTCAGTCTTTTTTTTTTTTTTTTTTTTTCCTCCCTTTTTGTTTGTTTGTTTGTTTTTTTTTTTCTCTCTTCTCACGGCACGGGATCAACAAGAGCAGGAATAGAGGGCGATTAGTCGAACTCACAGTCACACACACACACACAGATACATACATACAATACATACACACACATATATATATATATATATATATACATATACGGCCAGTTATTTCCACCCACGCGTCTACGGCTCTCTGTGCTCGCTGTTCTTCCATCGGGTTTTGGAGGTTGAGGAAGAGAGGGATCCCAAGTCTTTACTGTCCACGGCCAGCATCACCCCTCTCCCACCTCCTGGTGCAGACATCATCGGCTAGTTCGCCTGCTTCTTTCCCCCCCTGTATGTGTCTGTGTATGTGTGTGTATAAATATATATATATATATATATATATATTGGCGTGAGCTCTTTACATAATATTTTTGTTAAATTTTAAACAAGAGATAAGATAAAGCGTGGGAAATTTATTTACATCACGGTTAGTATTTTTTTTTTTTTTCCTTTTTAAACTAATGAGCCAGGGTGGGGTGCTTGGCAGTGCACTCATCCTTGCCGTAACGACGATTGGTGCGGGTATTCTCACACTCCCATCTGCCTTTTCAGACGCTGGTGTGGTGCTTGCGTTGGTTGTGCTGATTCTTGTTGCACTACTCACAGTTGTGTCCATTGATTACATGGTCATATGCATCGATAAACTTGGGGTAAACTCATATGAACAGATCAATCGGGAGCTGTTTGGAAGGTACAATGAGGAATTTGTACGGTGGATGTTGCTTGTTTATAACACCGGCTCTGCCATCAGCTATCTGGTGATTCTTGGAGAACTCATTGAGCCGCTGCAGCCCGCCATATCGCTTCACTTTCCTTGGCTCGTCACGACAAAACATACGCTTTTTGTGTTTTGGATTTTTGTTATTCTCCCGTTGTCGTGTGTGCCGGATATTTCTTTTTTGCGTGGCGCTTCATTTCTTGCCATTGCTGTGACTTGTTTTATTTCATCGCTTGTGGTGGTGCGTTATTTTGTTCCCAACGGGTGTGGCGGCGGCGACGATGACAATGTGTCGCAATGCTCTTCAGGAATGGGAACCTCCGACGCCGTATCGTGGTTCTCCGGCAAGCATCCTTTACTGGCTTTGCCAATCATGATGTTTTCCTTCGACTGTCAATCACTTGTTTTTCAGGTTTACTCCGGCTTGAAGGAAATGAACCGACGGAATATGATGCGTATCTCTGTCATTAGTCTTCTTCTCTCTGGGACCATTCACGCCGCGGTGGGCATGTTTGGCTACCTTGGTCACCCAACCGATGTCCGTGAGAATGTCATGAGTAACTTCGACCCGACGACAGACACTTTGTTTGCGATTGGCTATTTTGTGTACGTGATTCCGGTGAATCTGGCGTTTGTGATTATTCTTTTTCCCACACGTGACGCCATTTTTCTAATGTGGTATGGTTATAGCTCGGCCACAGAAGCGGTGGATAGGGGGCATGTCACGGACAGCGGTTTGGAGAATTATGACGCGTGTCAGCAACGGATACCCGCACGTGATCACCTTATTGTTAGTGTCTCGCTTTCTGTTACATGTCTCACGGCGGCTCTTTTAGTGCCGGGTGTTGTATCTGTGGTGGCATTGTTGGGTGGTGTGTGCAGTAGCAGCTTGTGCTTCACCTACCCAGCACTCTACCGCCTCCGGCTACATAAAACTGGGATTTTGCCCTATACGAAGTATTGGGAGCGTCCTTTGAATTGGATTATGTTGATCTTTGGTCTTGTTGGTGGCGTTCTCGGAACGATTGTAGCGGCCAAAGAGTTTTTCTAGTGCTTTTCTTCCCTTGTAATAATAATAATAATAATAATAATAATAATATATGTGTATGCTTGTATGTATTTTGGTTGGTTGGTTGGTTTTTCCCCTTGTTTTTCTTTCTTTGGCTCTCGGTGTCTTGCATAACTGTGTATACATTTACGCATACATGCATGCACCTGGGTGGGTGTTTAGGAAAGACTGGTCTACACCGTTGGGCATACATACATTTGTACACCTTTGCATTTACCTCCTCTTTCTCTCTCTCTCTCTCTCTGTGTGTGTGTGAGTGTGTGTTGGTTGTTGAACCAGAAAGAAAAATAAAAATAAAAATGGGAGGATGCAAGGTGCCATGGCGGAATTTTATAAATGAACATTTTTCTGTTTCTGTTGTTAGAGTGATTGATCAGGCAGAAGAGGAGGAACGGCAAACATGAGCGGATGAGACCCTCTTTTTATTATTATTATTATTATTATCAGTTTGCTCCTTGAAAGCGGCCCGCACCCGTTTATTTTTTCTTTTCTTTTCTGTGCGTTTTGGCTTTATTGCTGTAAATAGGAAAAGAGAGGGAGGGGAGGATGTGTGTGGGTTTCTGCATTTGGAACGACAAGTTGGGTGGCGGAGGCGGAGGTGCCGTCCTTCCTTTGAATTAACTGAGTGATTCTTCGTGGGTGTTTTTGCGTACAGACATGTGTGCCTACGTGTTTGTTTGTCTGTGTGTGTTTGACCTGTCATCATCACGCGTTGTGTTGGTTGATGGATATTTCTGTTTTCTTTTTTTTTTTTTTTATTGCGCCTACTTTACTGTGAAGTCTGCATCCGTGCACTCCGCCTGATACATACACACGCGTAGAGGCTCACGTAGTATTGGCTCTTTACGGCTGACGGTTGGCAGTAAGGGAGTGCCGCGGGCCGTCACGAAGCGAGGAGACGGAGGACGCAGGGAAGAATAAGGGTTTGTAGAAGGGGAACGCGAGGCGTAGGGGAGTTAGGACGTGAAAGAAAGGCATTCTTGAAGGAGCAGCGAGGAACGCAGAGAAATAACGAGGGGTTACGTTTGTAGGGTGTGATTGGTGCCATGCAACTTTCGCGCCGCCTGCCTGAAAGGCGGGGTGGCAGTAACATTCATCTCTTGGAGTCTCAGGAGATTGTGGGCTCGATGCTCACAGATCTTCAGAACCCCCTCTCTCCGCGGACATTCGCCGTGGAGCTGTCAAATGAGATGGAGACGCTGCCTTCTAGTATGGAGATGAGGGAAATAAACTGTGGGTCATTTGTACACGACGTGGTGGGTATGCGTCCCAAGGGCGATGCACTGAGCCGTCGCACGACACCGCCACACAGCTACTGCAGTTTGGCCCACCAGTTACCGACGGAGCTTGTATCCGTCATCATGAGTTTTTTAGACACCAGAAGTCTGTTCCAATACAGGGCTGTGTGTCGCTCGTTCAACAATGCATTCTTATCCCACGGTATTCAGAGCCTCGCCCCGTCTCTCACCTCTGCGGTGATGGACCCTACTGTGGGAACAGACACATTGACCGGGGTCATGCGCATCCGCGAGGCAATACTCGAACGGAGAGAACGGGTCTGGTCGCATTGGTTGGCGAGTTACATGGCAGCCAGACTAAGTCAGAATGTGGACGAAAAGACTCTTCAAAAAATGCAGCTAGAGGGCAAGGCTCTGGGGGCGCAACTGCACTACGAGCGGAGGTCCTGTCGCCGTGCCAGAGAAGAGTGGCTGGGGCACCAAGCTGATTACTACCGCGCGCGAGATAATATCCGCCGTAACTGGTTTAACGTCACCTCTTTGGGTTTTATGGCGGGCTCAGGAGTTGCCCCGGTCATTCTGCCCGATGGAACGTTATGCATTAACGATCCAGCCGACACCATTCTTCTGTTTGTTCGGCGGGATCGTGGCATGCTTTCATGTGTCACACGGCGTGCCAAAGGGAAGGTACCCTCACGGGCAGCTGAGGCGCTTCGAGACTTGTGGTGTCTTTTTGATGAGATGACTTTTTCATCGCGACTGAGTCTGATGTGCTATGATCCCTACATGGACGCGCTTCGGGTGGGACTTGAAAACAGCAAAATATTGTTTGTAAAGGTACGTAGCGCTGTTGTGGCAGGCCTCAAAAGACGCCTGGAGTCGGAGGTGGAGCGGGAGGAGTCACCCCCATCGCCTAAAAAACGAGTGCCTCGTCTCCGCACACGAAATAGCCGCGAAGGAGTTGAGGTGGTGGCTCTTTACTCCACGGCAGGGGAGGCTCTGGCAACATTTGCTCCGGTACACGGAGATGCCGTGGGACTCCCCGACTACGAGTGGAGCGTGGCGGAGATGATGGCCGCTACAAAAAAACACGGTTTTAATTTGGATTTCAGTCGTGTCATTCTCATCCGGCACGACCAGGACGTCACTGCCTCGTTCATCTCCACCAGTGCAACTCCCGATGTGTGCTTCACCGAAAAGGACGTACTGGAAATCGTTGCGCTGCGGCGTACGCTGGCAAAAGGAGGCCCCCGTGCGGACAACAATGAGCGGGGCAATGCGGTCGGGGTCGACGGTTCCAATTCGGTTTATTCAGCCCCCGCAGAGGTCATTGTCGGGTGTGGAGTGACGGGCTCCGCGGGGTTTCCCTTTTCCGACGAACCATTTGGAAGCAACGACGGTGGAACAACCACGCCGCCCATCAACCCGACGGAAGACGGAAGGTCGGCAGTGGAGGTCAACGCAGCCGACACAGTTGACATGAAACAGGTGGTTAAGAAGTATGTGTTTGCGGTCTTTAATGAGCAGGCAACCCTGTCAGCTATGGTGGCATATACGCGCGAGGTGGCCATGTTCACTTTTGGCGCACACACCAGCACGTGTCTTGGAGTAGGCTACACTGGTGAGGCTAAAATGGTGTACATGATTCAAGCGCCTGTGTTTCGGCGTTGTGAAACCACCACAAGAGAAGCCATAGACGAAGGTGAGGCGACAGTTGCGTGTGTGACAGCACATAGCATACTTATTTGCCAGCAGTTGATCTTTCGCGCCGTCGAGGAGGTGGAGAAATGTGTCTACAGTGACCCTGACGATGAAAAGAGTGGAGGAGACAAGAAGCATAACAAGAAGAATCGAAAGAGTAGTGCCGTCCCGCTGCGTCACTGTACGTGGTATTTCCTAAAGGGTTATTGCTATAGCTCTCCTTCGAGGGAGATGACAGTACTGAGGGAGGTTTCCTCCCCCAGTCTGATGGCCTTTTTGAATCCAAGGCCTTGGCTTCAGCAACACGTGATGGCGTTTGCGGACTGGTGCCGTGAGGAAAAAAACATGAGACAACAACAGCAGCAACAAAACAATCCACCACCGCACCTCAATTACTGGTGGTGCTCCCTACGAGATGGTCATCCGTACTTCCGTGTGCCCTTTATTTTATATGTAACGAGGTACATGCCGTTTATTTTGTTTCAGCGCCAGTATACCGCTTTGGATAGACAGCGAATTCCCTCGGAAGAGCAAAATCGATTTCAGGAGGTTCGTATCATAGAAGATGTGTCGCAGTTGAACTTACGTGTGTCATCTATGGCCCTCTCACCGTCGCATGCCTTTTTTCCTCTTGGAATGGTCAGTGGTGCAATCCTCCTTCTCTCCCCATCGTGTGCCGATGCTCGTGACGACCCGCCCAAAGTGAGTTTTGTAGAACCCGAAAGGCCCTTCTCGCGATTAGAGGAAGCATCCACTCGTTCTGCATTTGCCCGGATTAGGAGGAGACGTGGAATTATGGGCATGCAAAGAAGTACACCGCCGCACAATGAGGAAAACAGGGAGGAACAAGAACAGGAAGAAGAAGAAGACGAGCATGTTGCGTTGACGACACCGCATCCGCCATCGGAGCCCTTAAGTCATTTGTACCGGACAACACCAATTCGAACAGAGGAGGAAATCCTGCGGCAGCGCAGACGACGTCAGCCGTATCTCCGCTCGCTTACAGCTACACAAGTATTTGGTAATGGCTTCCGCGAAGACACATTTATTCAAAAACTGCAGCGGGAAACGTCCTCTGTCTTTAGGTCCATGCAGGGCAGGTTGTCGTCAGCAAATAACTTGCCACTTCACGCAGTTTGGATCATCGCACCGCGTGGAAACAGTCAAATCTCTAACGGAGCAGGTGTCCGGAGCATGCACTTAGATGAGTGGAAGCTCACGACACTCAGTATGTCTTTTGAGGTTGTCTTGTACGATCTTACACCAGAATCGAGAAGTTGGCAGGATGGAGCTTTGGTTGTGCCGCTGTTGACAATTAGCCCCTACAAGCGTCACCCACTGCGGGATTTTCCCGCGCCGAACGAGGAACCGTGGTTTTGTGCAAAAATGCGTCGCATGTTGCAGTTTGCGACGAAGCGTCGATTTGTTGAACCGGAAATAACGTGGCGTAATGGCCTGCTGGTCGTCTCCAGTATTTTAGGGGGGAGGCGATATACAATTTTTGACTTTGGTGTCGCCTTTCGCGACCCCGACAAGAGGATTAAAAAGGGAGAGGAATCCGCAGTCGCGTACTCGGCAACACAAAAGGAATACCGTCAATGTACTTCGGGTCTGATGCTGTCACTTCCAACGGGCGGGGAAAATGTGGTGGCCCTCCCGCGTCACTTTCCACTGCTACTGCGATGGGAATTTTTGTCACTCATGGTTCTTGTGGTGCGATGTTTGGGTATTTTTTTTGCTGCTGTTTCCATTACACTGATGATGCTGCGGATCGATGAGTACATTAGCATACCGCACTGGAGTGTGCTGCTTCTCTATTCTCCCCTTTGCATTGAATGTTGTGGTGAGCGACATCCTTTTGTACGACCCGT